CTATTATCTTCCAGTGATGTGTACCATGTTGTAACGACCTTTGTTTTCTAAAACCCCAGCCAGCATGCCGGTGTAGCTGCTTGGAGCCTCCCCAGGCCCGGCCGCCCCAGTGTGCATGGTGGCCAGCTCACAGAGAGACGGTCCTAAGCATGCTGGCCCGGCACCACCGCCACACGGGGACAGGGCAGCCAGTCCCGGGCATGGATCTTCCCCTAGACAGGGACGGATCCAGAGCATCCCCAGGGCTGGGGAAAGCGGCCACAGGGAAGGAAACGGGGAGGGCTGCTCAGTGGGCTCCTGTAGTCCAAGTATGCCTTGCACAGAACCCGGCTTGGGGGGCGCATGGGAAGCAGCCCAGAACCAACCCAATGTACTCCAGGGCTCAGCTTCTATGTCTTCAGGGGACGGGGTGATGAGGAGATGGAACAGCTTCCCTCCTCTGTGATCTTGGAGAAGGGGTCCTTAGAGGGGTGTGAGGGGCACCCCAGGAAAACAGACACAGAAGGGAACTCTGGGCTCTAATAGGGAAGAGGGGTTTTCATGGGGAATGGTAGGGTGAGCAGATTACCCATCTTGGGGAACCAGCCTCGGTCATCCAGGGGCTCCCAGAGAGACCCCGCCTACACCCGCTGGGCAGAGAACACCCAGAGACAGGTTTCAGCTATATCAGCAGGACCTTTCCGGTGTCCAGAGCAGGCTGGACAGCACACGCCCTGCATTCTGGATGACCCTCCTCAGGGGACGCTGCAGAGAGGATGTCTGCCCTAGGTAGGGGTGGACGCCATGACCTTCCAACATACTGTCCAGCTCCAAGATTCCAAGCTCCAGGCTGGAGCCAGGGCAGGAAGAGGGGACAGGGTCCAGGGCGCCAAGGGCTGGGAGGGGCCAGGAGCCCTGGAGGAAGGGAGAGCCCGAGGAGGTGGACTTGCCCAAGGCCAGAGCTGGCCCCCAAACACTGCCCACGGTCCCCCAACAGCGTTGCTCCAAGTGCCCATCTCCCACCCTGCACCCATGCAGCTCCTAACTCTTTCCGTCCTCTCTCTCTTTCTCTCTCTCTCAATCTCTCTTTGCAGAAACCACCCATCTTCACCATATCTGACAAGGAAGTATGAGAGCCAGCTGGTGGCTCCCCCCTGCCCGGCTCGGAACCCTGGCCCCTTGGCTTGTGCGGGGCTGGAGCACGCACTAACTTGCACAAGTCCAAGCAAAGCCCAGCCTCACCACCTCTCTCTCTCTCCCTGCTGCGGTGAACAGGTGGAGGGTAAAGGGTAACAGCCATTTTCCTTCTACTTCCTGCTCTAGACGGAAGGGTCACACACGGGCAGGGGGCTGGACTGTGCGTGCCACGTGTCCCCTTGGCAGCACTACATCGGCTGCATCCTATGGGTGGCTTCAGAGTGACCCCCTGAAAACAGCTGTCTGACTGGCGGCCTCGTCTTTTCCCTGATGTGTGGCCACACGGTCCTGAGGGGCTTGCAAGGATGGGTCAGGCTCTGGTTCTTGTTTCTCTGCCTCTCTCATGCTCACTGTGCGACCTAGGCATCCAGGACCCCCAAGCCCCGTGAAAGCCACTGTCATCACCAGAGCCTCTGGGCCCAAATACCCCCGAATCCCCCCGCTGGCCAGAGGGAGTCGCTGGCTTGGCCAGGGCCAGGACACTGTGGTTCTTCATCTTCCTCCTCCCTTCACGGGTGGCCCCTTCTAACCTGGTTCCCTTCTTTTGTTCTGTCCCAGTGCAGGGCAATATGAAGATGAAGGTAACCCCGGCAACTGCCGGAAGTCCTCCAGCCCCGGTCTCCCGTGTGTCGTTCATAGAATCCCCACCCCAGGCTGCTCCAGGCCACCTTGGGCTTGTCAATCAACCATCCATCTTCCTCATCATTAGTTATTAACAATCACCATTCATCATTAGTTAACGATGAATTTGAGACCATCGCTTAAATGATGAATGACAGTCATTAAATCATCACTAACCCCCGTCTCTTTAATTGAGTAATATACACTCATGATCCTTCATTCATCCTTCATCCTTCATGTGCCACGGTGTGTGGGGTTCGCTGGGGCTGGTCATGAAGGCCTCATTCTCATTAACACCGAGTGCCCCACTGTGCCCAGCGCTGCTGTCTCTCTGTGTCTCTCTCTGCCCTCCCAGTATCTCAGCGTCTCGCCATCTCTCTCCAGTTCCTTTCCGTGTCTCTCTTGGCACCCTCATCTCTCTGTGTGCCTGTGTATCTCTCAGTTCTGTCTCTGTATCTCTCAATCTCTTGGTCTCTGTCTCCCACTGCTTCTCTCTCTCAGTCGCTGTCTCTCTTGGCCTCTCTGTTCCCATTTCTCCACCTCCATCTCCATCTGTCCCTCTCTCTATCTCCATCTCTCCATACCACCCCCTGGTACCTTGTGCTGTAACCCTAGGTGGAGCCTGGAGCCCCCTCCCTGTGCTGGCCAGCTGTGGTCTGTGGGTGTCTCCATCGTGCCTGAGCAGGCATGGGCGCATCTGGGAACCATGTGGGGTGGCGGTTCTCAGGCCGACAGCGCTCCCCCAAAATCCCTGGCACCCCCTCAACTGGGGAGCGCATTCACACAAACTTAATAGGCAGCGCTGTCCCGTGGGGAGTCCTGAGTGCTATGTTTTGAAAATATTTTGAAAACACTTAGCTACCCTAAAAACGTGAGCAAAACGTTTCTTTTTCTGCCAAAAAGGTGGAAACTCACTTCTGTGCAGGAAATATGGCCCCGAGGAGCCATCTTTTCTCTTGGGGCAGCCACATGGCAGGCTGGAAGGCCACAGAAGGGTCTTCATGCGACATGTCCCCAAAGACCCCTCGGTGCCAGCCTTGTTTCCGGGCGCACTCAGAGCCAGGGCTTCCCGCAGGCCCTGTGGGTTTTGTCTCCAGCCTCACTTGTGTCACCTGCAGAGCAGGACTTAGCAAGGGCCTCTGTGCACAAATGCCTCCAGGCATGGGAACAGCAGGCCCCCAGGAGGGAGGAGGAACCTTAGAATCCCATGCAAGAGCCGGGCCAGCCCAGCTGACGGTGAACAGCTCTGTTGGTGGGAGTCCCTGCTCGCCCGGGCTGGCTAGAGATGCAGGACTGACCCTCATCTTTCACCCCAGCCAAGCGAGTCCCAGGCCTTCTACTCCTGGCCGGCCATCCTCCTGTCCTTGCGGCCTGAGTATGCTCTAATCACTGTCTGTTCCTTCTCTCACCCAATCCCACCTTCTCCTGCTCCTGGCTTCTCCAGTCTCAGAGGAAGCCCAGGAGGAAGGTTAAGTGTGGTCTGAGGCCCCGGCCCCCATGCCCACTCCCCAGCCTTCCTGCTCCACACGACATTGACCTCCACCCCGCCTCTAAGAATTGCTGTGTGCCCCTGTCTAATCTTCTTCTCTCTCCCCCTGCCACCGGCAATCTCCAGCTTTCCTCTGCTGCAGAAATCCATGAGGAAGGCACCAAGACACAGGACTTCTTGTCCCATGTGGGGCCCAGGGCCTGGCTGGACCCACGTGGGGGTGGGGGAGAGGGTGGAAGCCACAAGGTACCAGCCAGCCAAAGGGTCCCCACAAGTGGCCCTAATGTAACCCACTAACCACAGCCAATCCTTGACCAGAGAGGGCATGGGGTCTCAAGGGTGGGACCTCTTCCCGGCAGTCCCTCAGGCAGCAGCAGGGCCAGGGGCTCCTCAGGCAGGTGCAGGCTGGGCTCCTTGTCAGCAGGGCATCCCCAGGCATGGGGCAGAGGAGATGCTGCGGGGCCAGAGGTAGGCCCACTCTAGCCCTCCACTCCAGGGCGGGCAGTTGAGAGTCCATGGTGGCATCGACCCCTGGGCCTGGCCAGGACCCCCGGCCACATCTTTGGCCAGCACAGGGTGAGGGGAGAGAAGGTGGCTGGGGGCAGAGCCCTGCAGCCTGGAAGGGTCAGCTCCCTTGTGTGCGTGCCCTCGCCAGCACCCCAGGCCCCCTCATAGCCTTTTGCTGTGAGACCCCTGGAGTGCACACAGTCTGGCAGATGGGAGGGCTGGGGTCCCACGCCCAGATCAGCAGGCAAAGCCATCATTGGCGCCCGGGGCTGCCAGTACCCTCGGAGGGTGGAAAGAATCCCATCAGGGAAAGAACAAGTGTGTCCTCAGCTGTTGGGATGGCAGGAAGTGGGGGTCCTGGGGACGCCTCCCAGGGCTACCAGCCCTGTCTTTGTGGGCCTCTGGTGCCGCCCGGTCAGGCTACAACCTCGCGCATGGGCCTTGGTGCCCTGGCCAAGGGCACGGACACCCTTCTGGAGGTGCCCAAGACAGACAGGGGATAGGGGCGAGCAAAGGAAGCCCCAGGGCCGAGCCTGCTCGCCACCATTTTTTTCCCTTTGGCACTCATCACCCTCTTTTTACCCCTCCATCTACCCCAAAACTATTTTCTCCCCACCTACCACTTCAGCTGTGCTGTCTCCGTGGCCGCCACCAACTGCAGCGAGGCGAGGTGCAAAGTCACAGGCCCCAGCCTCCAACGTGGGGCACATAGCTCTCCCATCTCCTTCTCCTTGGCCTCTAGCCAGACAGGAGCAGCTCCCGCTGCCGGAGGCCCTCCTACGGCCCGAGGCTCTGCAGTCTCCGCGGCCACCACCAACCGCAGGGAGGCGAACCACAGCGTCGTGGGCTCCAGCCGCCAGCCGCCAGCCGCCAGCCTGCAGCGTGTAGCAAGTGGCTTCCTAAGGCAGCACACAACAGCTCAGCAGTCAGACGCTGAAGAGCCTGGAGTGGCCCCACCTCATCGTGCTTTATATACTGAGGTTAGGCAAGGGGTTCCTAGAATACATGTTTTGATTGGATGAGAAAAAAACCTTTAGGCCTACTCTGATTGGACTTTGTTATCATGTTCTGATTGGATGAGAGCAAGTATCAGGACAACCAATCAGAGCATGAAAATAAAGTCCAATCAGAGTAAGCCTAGAGGTTCATCTTATCCAATCAGAACATGTAGTCCAGGAACCCCATTGCCTAGCCTCAGTATATAAAGCATGCTGAGGCGGGCATTTTTCAGATTTTTCAGTGTCTGCGGGCGGAGTTGTTTCGTGCTGACTTAGGAAGCCGTCTGCTGCTCGTTGGAACTTGGAGGTTGGAGACTGAAGTCAGGGACGCTGTGACTCGCTTCTCGCCTCCTCGCGGTTGGTGATGGCGACCAAGACTGCAGCACCGTGGGAACTGTACGAGGGCCTCCGGCAGCGGGAGCTGCTCCTGTCCAGCTAGAGGACGAGAAGATGGGAGACCTACTTGCCCCACGTTGGAGGCTGGGGCCTGTGACATCGCACCTCGCCTCACTGCGGTTGGTGGCGGCCACGGAGACAGCGCAGCTGGAGGGGTAGGAGGGGAGAAAATAGTTTTGGGATAGAGGGAGGGGTAGTAAGAGGGTGGTGAGTGCCAAAGGGAAAAAAGGTTGGCGAGCAGACAGAGGGTGGGGAAAAGATGGTGGGAGAATAAGTTTTTTGGTAGCTGGAGGGGGAAAAGAGAGTGGTGAGCAGCAGCAGTGGGGAGAAGGCTTTGGGAAAAGATGGGGGAAAATGTTTTTGGGTAGATGCGGGAGCAAAAGAGGATGATGAGAGCGTGAGGGGGGAAAGAGGGTGGCCAGGGAGAGGGGGAAAAGGGTGATGAGCTGGAGAGTAGAGAGGGCTTTGCGAAAAGATGGTGGGGAAAAAGTTTGGGGGTAGATGGAGAAAAAAGGGTGGTGAGAGGGACAGGGGTGAAGACAGTTGGGAAAAGAAGGTGGGGAAATAATGGTGGGGTACAAAGGTTTGGGGTAGACGTTTTTCTGATTTTTAAATTAGATTGTGTTTTTGCTTTTGAGTAGTTTTGCTCTCTATGTTTTGTGTGTTAACCGCTTGCCTGATGCATAGTTTGCAAATACTTTCTTCCATTCTCTGGATTGTTTCTTCGTTCTACTGATTGCTTCCTCTGCGTTGCAGAAGCTTTTAAGTGTAATGTAATTCCATTTGTCTGTTTTTGCTTTTGTTGCTTGTACTTTTGATGTCTGTCTGAAAATTTCTTCTCCTAACCGATTTTATTAAGCATTTATCGTATGTTTTCATCTCTAGTAGTTTCATAGTTTCAGGTCCTACATTTAAATCTTTATCTTCAGTTGAATTTTGTATATGATGAGATAACGGTCTAGATTTATTCTTCTACATGTGAGTGTTGGGTTTTCCTAGCACAGTTTATCGAAGAGATTGTCCTTCCAGAAGGTGTGTTCTTGGTGCCTTTTGTTAAAAATGAGTTGACTGTAAATGCGTGAGTTTATTTCTGATTTCTCTATTCTGTTTTGTTTATGTCTGTCTGTCATTAGTCTCTCCCCTGCCCCCCCTTTTTTTTACAGCACTCTGCTGTTTTGATATTATACTATATATGTGCAGTTACTATGGATTTATAGTATATTTTGTAGTATATTTTGAAATCAGTAGTGTGAGGCCTCTGGCTTTTTTAAAATTCAAGATTCTTTTGTCTATCTGAGGTGTTTTGCATTTCCATGTGAATTTTAGAATTTTCTTTTCTATTTCCATGAGGAATGTTTTTGTAGTTTAACATGGATTGCATTGATTCCATAGATCACATAGAGAGAGATATTTTAACAATATTCTTCTAGTGCATGGACATGGGATATTTTTCCATTTACTTGTGTTTGCTTTAATATCTTTGATCTGTGTTTTCTAGTTTTCGTTGTAGGACCTTGCACCTTTGTGGTTAAGCTTATCCCTAGGTATCATTTTTTTAGAGGGGTGGGTAGCTACTGTAATGAAACAGCTTTCTTGATTTCTTTTTTATGTGTTTCACTGTTGGTGCACAGTGTGTGCTACTCATTTTCGTATATTGATACTGTATCTTGCAACTTTACTAAATTTATTATTTTTAGTAGGTTTTTTTGTGGAATGTTTAGGGTTCTCTCTGTATAAATTATCGTGTCACTTGCAAACAGACAGTTTGAGTTTTTCTTTCCAATTTGGATGGCTTTTATTGCATTCTCCTGTCTAATTGCTTTAGCTAGGACTTCCAGTACCATGATGAATAAAAGTGGTAAAAGTAGCCACACTCGTTCAAGATCTTAGAGGAAGAGTTTAAGCTTTTCCCCATTGATTACGATGTTAGCTGTGGGTTTGCCATATATGGCTTTTATTGTGCTGAGATGTGTTTGTTTCTGTGTTGTGTCCTGGTGTGGTTTTTGTAGCAGGGTAATGCTGACCTCATAGAACAAGTTTGGAAGTATTCTTCGTCTTCATTTTTCGGGGAATATTTTGAGTAAAATTGGTATTACCTCTTTTAAAAATGTTTAGTAGAATTCAGTGGTGAAACCATTATTCTTCTGTTTTTCTTTGATGGGAGACTTTTGTTACTGCTTTAATTGCATTACTCATTATTAGTCTGTTCAGATTTTGTATTTCTTATTATTCTAGCTTGCGAAATTGCTGTTTCCAGAAGTTTATTCATTTCTGCCAGGTTTTTCAATTTGTTTGCATGTAGGTGTTTTTGGTAATCTGTTGGGATCCTTTTTATTTGTTATCAATTGTAGTGTCTTCTTTTTCACCTATTTTATTGCAGTTTTCTTTTTTCTAGTCTCGTTATAGCTTGTCAATTTTGATTTTTTTTTTTTAAAAAAAACCAGCTCTTTGTTCCTTTGACTTTGTAATTTTTTTAGTTTCTATTTTTTAAAATTATTCTCTAATCTTCATGATTTATTTCTACTAATTTTAGTATTTGATTTTTCTTGTTTTTCTCACTTGACGTGTACTCTGAGGTTGGCTTTTGAGATCTTTCTGCTTTTCTGATGTAGGCATTTAGAGCTATGCACTTTTCCTCGTACAGCTGCTTTTGCCGCATTCCGCAGGTTTTGTTGTGTTGTGTTTTCATTCTTATTTGTTGCTGTGGATTTTTAATTTTCCTTATTAGTTTCAATGGGTTTTTAATTTTTTCATTTGTTGGTTGTACGTGAGCATGTTTTAAAATTTTCATTTGTACAGCTTTTAAAGTTCCTGTTAATTTCTTTTTTTTTTTTGAGACGGAGTCTCACTCTGTCACCCAGGCTGGAGTGCAGTGGCCGAATCTCAGCTCACTGCAAGCTCTGCCTCCCGGGTTTATGCCATTCTCCTGCCTCAGCCTCCCGAGTAGCTGGGACTACAGGCGCCCGCCACCGCGCCCGGCTAGTTTTTTGTATTTTTTAGTAGAGTCGCGGTTTCACCGTGTTAGCCAGGATGGTCTCGATCTCCTGACCTCGTGATCCGCCCGTCTCGGCCTCCCAAAGTGCTGGGATTACAGGCTTGAGCCACCGTGCCCAGCCTAGTTCCTGTTAATAATTTCTAATAGTAGTCCACTGTAGTCAGAAAAAATACTTCATATGACTTCAGTTTTTTAAAATGTGTTGTTACTTGTTCTGTGGCTTAACACATAGTCTATCCTGGAGAATAATGCATGTGCTACTGAGTGGAATGTGCATTGTGAAGTTGTGGAGTCTGTGTAAATTTCTGTTAGATCTATTCGGTATAGAGTACAGCTTAACCGATGATTTTTTGTTTTCTGGATGATCTGCCCATTGACGATAGTGGTGTGTTGATTATAGCGGGGTGTTGAGGTACTTTATTATTATTAATTATATATATATATATTTTTTGAGACAGAGTTTCTCTCTTGTTGCCCAGGCTGGAGTGCAATGGTGCAGTCTCATCTCATTGCAACCTCCGCCTCCCAGGTTCAAGCGATTCTCCAGCCTCCGCCTCCTGAGTAGCTGGGATTGCAGGCATGTGCCACCACGCCCTGCTATTTTTTTGTATTTGTAGTAGAGACTGGGTTTTTCTCCATGTTGGTCAGGTTGGCCTCCAGTTCCTGACCTAGGTGATCCACCTGCCTTGACCTCCTGAAGTGCTGGGATTACAGGCATGAGCCACCACGCCCGGCCGGAATCTTAAAAAGTTTAATACATGGAAGCAGGGTAGAATGGTGGTTACCAGAGACAGGGAGGTGGGAGAAAAGGGGATCTGTCGGTCCAAGAGTACAAAGTTGCAGTTACGTGATTATAGTTAATAATAGCATATACTAGAAATTTGCAAAGAAAGTGTATTTCAGGTACTGTCATCTAACTATATGAGAAGATGGATGTGTTAGTTTGACTGTAGTGATCATTTAACTATGTATATATACATATATACACACAAACAAATGTAGATTTTCGTATATATGAATCAAAATAGGCCATCCACTTTAAATATATTCAATTTTATTTTGAAAATAAAAATGTGAAAGAATAAAGAGCATGCATATAGTCGTAAACTCAATTACCGATATAAATAAGTGCACTGCTAATCAGAACAATGAATTAAATGTCAGTTGTATTTATGTTGTAACCTTTCCTTTTAATGTTTTCTATTTATAATTACACAAATATTTAATGAGTTCACAATGCAACTATATATTAAACATGCTCAACATGTTTTAGAAGTGATGAATGTTACAAGTTTTAGGTCATAGTCACTGTAAGAATGTTCCCTTGGGAAGTGTTATTTTCTGTTGGTTTGTATTTTAAAACATTCACTACCACCAAGAGATAGCCTGGGTTTTTCTAATCTTCACCCACCATAATGTTATAATGAACGCCTCTGAGCATGTATCACTATGCGCAATTAAGCATACTTGTGACGGCTTCTCAGATTTGGAATTGCTGATCCAAAATCAATGAGCATGTTAAAATAGGATAATTACTTTTCACCCTCAGATATGCTGTTAAAATCATATTTTCATTAATTTTATGTAATAGTACCAGTACCAATTTTCCCATACTTCACACTACCTTTAGATACTATACATTTCATTAATTCTTGTCTATATTACAGGCCGTAAAACCATCTCGTTGCTCTTTCAACTTGAAATTTCTGATTACTGTAATTCCAAATGTACCGAGTCATGTTTACTATATAGTTTGTTACATTTCGTGAACTCTACTTTGTCTCTTTTACTACAAAATGGAATATGTGTGGGAACAAAATTGGTTTTATATGAGTATCTTTTCCTTGTCTAAGATCTGTTTGAATTAGGCAAGAAAAAAGTCACATATTCACTCCAACAGCATAATGTCTGTGTCTGTTTCACAGTAGCAATACAATGTGGATAGAATCACACTCATATCTCCCATGATGAAACTGATGCCTTATGTACAGCATTTTGCATTGAAAAATCATTTTTTATCTTTTCAGCTACATAGGATCAATTTCTCTTTGTATGTTGTATAGCTTCCAATTGCATCTAGGAGTCTTATTTTTCATTAGTTTTGGGATACAGGTGTTTTTTGGTTACTTGAGTAAATTCTGTAGTGGTGATTTCTGAGACTTTGGTGCACCCTTACCTGAGTGGTGTACGTTGCACCCAGTATGTACTCTTTTATCCTTCACCCCCTTCCACCTTTCCCTCTGGGTCCCCAAAATCCATTATATCATTCTTATACCTTTGGATCCTCATAGCTTAGCTCCCACTTACAAGTGAAAACATATGATACTTGGTTTTCCACTCCTGAGTTACTTCACTCAGAATAATGGCCTCTGGCTGCATCCAAGTTGCTGCAAAGGCCATTATTTCATTCCATTTTATGGCTGAGTAGTATTCCACAGTGTATATATACCATATTTTCTTTGTGCGCTCGTTGGCTGATGGGCATTTAATTGATGGGCATTTAGGCTGGGCGCGGTGGCTCAAGCCTGTAATCCCAGCACTTTGGGAGGCCGAGGCGGGTGGATCACGAGGTCAGGAGATCGAGACTATCCTGGCTAACATGGTGAAACCCCGTCTCTACTAAAAATACAAAAAACTAGCCGGGCGTGGTGGCGGGCGCCTGTAGTCTCAGCTACTTGGGAGGCTGAGGCGGGAGAATGGCGTGAACCCGGGAGGTGGAGCTTGCAGTGAGCCGAGATCACGCCACTGCACTCCAGCCTGGGAGACACAGCGAGACTCCGTCTCAAAAAAAAAAAAAAAAAAAAAAAATTGATGAGCATTTAGCTGATGGCCTTCGTATTTTTGCGATTGCAAATTGTACTGCTATAAACATGCATGTGCATCTGTCATTTCCATGTAATGACCACTTTTCCTCTGGGTAGATACCCAGTAGTGTGATTTCGAGATCGAATGGTAGTTCTGCTTTGAGTTGTTTAAGAAATGTAGGAGTCATTTTAATGTAGATAATTGAATTACGGTTAATTCTCCATCCAGTTTTCCACATTAGTTACTTTCTACTGCCGATTTGAGGCCATTTTTCATTTATATTACTTGATCATTTCATTTACCGTCACGTCTAACAGTATGTGCTGTTTTCAATGCATATTATGTGAACAGTTTAAAATTCTGAAAGTATAATTCTTTGTTGAAGTGTTTGTAAGTTTTACATAAGCCCTTATATGATCTGTGTTTTGATTTTTAAATCATCTGTTGTATTTTACTAATATATACTTTTCTTCTTGTGAGATATAATCTTACATAAACTTTGTGGATAGAAAGATGTTAGGAAACAGTCACATGGTCTGTTATGCTTAGTGTATCATTTTTGCGGAGACCAGCTCGGTCAGGGGGACCTAGATGTGCACCTGGGGCCTGATGTTCCCCAGGGGCCTAGGTATCCACCTGGGGCCTGGTGTCCACCCAGGGCCTGATGTCCATTTGGAGTCAAGTGTGCAACTGAGGCGCCATGACCTGGGGGCCGGGTGTCTATTAGGGGCCTGGTTTTGACCTGGGACCTGGGCCTTTACCTGGGGCCTCAGTGACCACTTGGGGCATGATGTCCACTTGGAATTTGGTGTCCAGCTGAGTCCTGATAGTCACTGGGTTCCTAGGTATCCTCTTGGGGCCTGGTGTCTGTCTGGGGCCGGGTTTCTACCTGGGGTGTGGGTATCTACCTGGTTGCTGTTGTTTACCTTGGTCCTAGGTATCCACCTGGGACCTGGTGTGCACCTGGGGCCTATGTCCACCTATTGTTTTTCTGTGGCCTTGTGTCCACCAATGCCCTAGGTGTCAGCCTGGTATCTGATATCCACCTGGGGCCTCCTTAGCCACCTGGGACCTGCTAGTCCCTTGAAGTCAGATGTTCTCGGTCCTGATACCAACCCAGGTGTATTCACCTGGGTCCTGGGTGTCCCCTTGGGGCCTGATATTCACCAGGTGCCCAGGCATTTATTTGACACCTGGTGTCCATGTGGAGCATGCTGTCCCGTGAGAATTAATATTCAGATGGGGACTGGGTATCCACCTAGGGGGCCTATTGTACTCCCAGGGCCTGAGTGTTTATCTGGAATCTGATATCTATCCTGCGCCTGCTGCCTATATAGGGCCTCATGTTCCTTTTGACCCTGGATGATCACCTGAGTCCCTGGTATCCTCTGTGGGACAGCTGTCCACCTGTGACTGCGTCCAGCTGTGGCCTGGGTGTGAGCCTGGTGCTTGATGTACACCTTGAGTCCGTGTCCACCTGAGGCTTGATGTTCATCTGGGGACTGGTGTCCACTTGGGGCCTGATGTCTGCATGGGGACTGAGCACTTACCTGGGGCCTGGTGTCCACCTGAAGCCTAGGTGTTAACCTGGGGCCTGGCGTCCACCTGGAGCCTGAAGAATATTGGACATCAAACACCAGGTTGACACTATGTCTTAGGCGTATGCCAGTTCCCAGGTGGACATCAGGTTCCCAGTTGAAAAATAGGTTCCAGGGAACAGCAGGCTCCAGTTGAACATCAGGCCCCAGGTGGATGCCCAGGCCCCCCATCGACACCTAGGCCCCAGGAAGACATGAGACCTCAGGTGGATATTTATGTTCCTCGTGAATGTTAGGCTCCAAGTGGACACCCTGGCTCCAGGTGGATATAGGGCTTCAGGTGGCCATCAGGTCCCAGCTGGGTGCACACTGGACTTGAGGTATACATCAGGCACCAGGTTTACACCCAGGCCCCCATTGGACAGAATGTCACAGATGGCCTTCAGGCCCAAGGAGGATACCAAGTCTGCAGGCGGATACCCAGGCCTCATGTGGACCCTAGGCCTCAGGTGAAAATCGGCCCTAGTTGGATACTTAGTCTTCAAGTGACATAATAATGCCCCAGGCAGACCGCAGGCTTTAGATGGATACCAGGCTCCAGGTGGACATTAGGTCCCAGGGTGACACCAAGGCTACAGGTGGACACCAGGCCCCAGGTGAAGCCTAGATCTCAGGTGGACATCAGGCCCCTGGTGGATACCTACACTGCATATTGACCAATCAGATTCCAGAAGGACACCAGGCCTGAACTGACCACTAGGCCACCAGGTGGCTATGTTGGCCCCAGGTGGCCATCAGGCCCCAGGTTGACTCTAAGGGCCCAGGTAAATACCAGCCTGCAGATGAATAACATGCCCAGTGTCGGTGGACATCAGCCCCCACCCCATGAACAGCAGGTCCCAGGTGGATACCCAGCCTGATGTCCACCTGCAGACCAGAGTTCGCTTAGGGTCTGATTTCTTCATGGGCCCTGGGTGTTTTTCTGGGACCTGTAATCTGTCTGAGGTCTGGTGTTTACCTGGGGATGGGTATTTACCTTGGGTCTGATGTCCACCTGGGGCCCGGGTGTCCACCTGGGCCGTGATGTTCACCCAGGGCGTCATTTCTATCTTGATATTGAGTGTCTCAAGATAGACTTCCCTGGGTGAGCCTTGATGTCCATCTGGAACCAGATGTTCCCTTGGGGCCAGGGTGTCCACCTGAGGCCTAATGTTGATCAGGGGCCTGGTGTTCACCAGGGGCCTAGGCATTTAGCTGAGGCCTGATGTCCACCTGGGGCCTCCTGTTCACCTTGGGCCTGATACTTACCTGGGGCCTGGACATCCACTTGGAGCCTGGAGTTTAAGTGGGGCCTGGTGTTCCACTGGGGCCTATGTGTCAGTCTGGGAACCTGACATACACCAAGATGCCTGATGTAAATCTGAGATCTGGTTTCAGCCTGTGGCCTGGTATGTACCTGGGGTCTTGTGTCTGCCTGGGGCCTGGTATTTACCTGAGGCCTGGGTGTTCACCTGGGGCCTGATATTTAGCTGGGGCCTGGTGTCCGTCTGGGGCCTGCCTATGTGCCAGACTGTGACCTGATCTGTCCACCTGGTGCCTGATGTCCATGCAGGGACTGGAGTCCCCTTGGGACCTGGTGTCCACCCAGGGCCTGGTGTCAGCCTGGTATCTGATGTCCACTGTCTGTGTCGTGATGTTTTCCTGTGGCCTCTGTGTCCACTGGGGCCTTATGTCCACCTGCAGGGGGTGTGCTTCCATGCACCTGCCCCCTTCCTGGGGAGAATGGGTGGGGAGTTTCTCTGACCCCACCCCTCATCGTCCAGGACCTCGACCTCACCCTCCCACACAGGCTGTGAGGAAGGCGCCATCTTGGCTCAGGTGGTGCCTGGGTAAGTTGCCCCTGCTTCTTTACCAAGGCGTGAAGATCTCAGTCAGGTACTGGACTGGGAACCCCGAAGCCATGCCCCGCCAGACTGCCAGTGGGAAAGAACCGGTACCCAAGAGTGAGAGCGCCGCACTGCCTGCTGCCGGGAGCCTGTATAAGCATGCAGGGTGGCTCCTCGAGGACGCCAGGAGCCTGGGTTCAGGTCACTCGTGTCATTGGCAGCCACACACCAGAGCTGAGGGAGGGGACCAGGCTGAGGCCATGGACCCTCCAAGAAAGCCACAGAGCCAGCCAGTGGTGCCCAGGGACTGCAGGAAGCTTCTCCAAGGTGAGCTCTGGAACTGCATTGGTTTCTGTATCTTTCCCCAGCGGTGAATTTCTGCAAGTTGGGTCGGACATGTTCAAGGTGGCCTTTGCAATTTGTAGGCTTTTAAGCCATCTGGGAGAGACCCACACTTTTGAAAATCTGGACGGATTTGGGCTTGATTCGGCGTGCCGCTTCATTTTGCAGTGTGGTTTCTAGTGTTTCTTGGGAAATTGGGCCTGGGTTGGTTAGTTATCCACGTCAGCCTTTCCTTCTTGGATTTCTCAGTACGCATGGTTGCGTTTTCCTCTTTTCTTTTATTGCAGTCCCAGGTCCCACATTTCCATTATTCCCTTCTAATCTGTGCGTCCTCCATGCGAAGCATCATTGCGCTCGCGTTGGGTGCGGGAGTTTCATGGTTGGTTCTTTTGGTGTGTCTTTGGCATTCTATTAAGAGTTCCTTGACGTGAGAATGATTGAGAAGTGTAGTTTTCAGTTTCCTAAATACAGATTTTTTGGGGGAGATGAACCTATTGCATTAGGCCAGAGAGTATGTGACCTTTCGGTATTTGGGGACCGATGTGTACACCTGGGGGCTTGGTATCCTGAGTTGGAGGTTGGGTGTCCATGTGGAACCTGATGTACCTCTGGACCTGGTTGCCCACATGGGTCCTGGTGTCCACCTGGAGCCTGATGTTTCCCAGGGGCCTGGGTATGCACTTGGGTCTCGATGTTCATCTAGGACCTGGTGTTCACCCAGGGCCTGATAGTCACTTGGGGACTGGGTATGTACCTGGGGCCTCACGTCCACCTGTGGTGTAGGCATCTATTGTGGGGCCTGTGTGTCAACCTGGTGCCTGATGTCCTCCTATGGATTAGATACCCAACTGGGGCTTGGTGTTTACCTGGAATCTGATGTCCAGCTGGGGACTGGTGTCTGGATGGAGTCTTACAGCTACCTGGGGTGAGGTGTTCTCCTGGGTGTGGCTGTGAACCTGGGGCCTAAAGTCTACTTAAGAGTCCAGTGTCTACCTGGAGCCTGATGTGACCTGGGGCCCGATGTAAACTTGGGGCTTGGTATTTAGGTCGGGTTTGGGCGACCACCGAGGGGTTGATCTCAGCTGGGGCCTGACATTTTCTTAGTGCCTGGTGTTCACCTGAGGCCTTGGTGTCAACTTGGGACCGGATATCCAACTGAGGCCTGGGAGTGTTCCTGGTACCTGAGGACTTCCTGGGACCTGGATTTCCCAGACCCGGATTTTCACATGGGGCCTGATGTCTGGAATTCTGAGGCCTAGGTCTTTTCTTGGGACCTAGATGTACACTTTAGCAGAGCCTCCGCAACAAAGGCCTGGGGCCACCAGGAGGCTGTGAAAAAGAAGAAGGGCACCTGTTTCCCAGATGCTTGTGAGTTTGTCAGAGCCTAGAGTGAAAGGACAAGTGCCCTGGACATAGGGAGGAGCCCGGGCTCCGATATCACCCCAAAGCCCATTTGTGCCCCAGCCTAGACTCTCCTGCGCCACCAGGGGGTGCGTGGAGTGGGGAGGGCATCTGTTTACATGCGGCGGCCTCTCTCTCACCACCGCCATCCCTCTTCGCAGCTGAGGTGCGGGACCTGTGGGAAGGAGAGGGAGGGCAAAGGCCGTGGTTGCAGCACCTGGGCCGCAGGTGACAGGTTCTCACCGAGGTGGCACGGAGGGCCCCACCACAACCCTGGTGGAGGTTAGGTTCCAAGGTGCAGCCCCAGCCCCGCCTCAGCCTGGGGTGTTCACCTGGGCCTGGGAAGGGGGGCAGCAGTCTGTGGGGCTGCTGTGGCCCAAGGTTTCAGGAAGCCCAGGGCTCCTTGTGGGTGGAGAAATCAAAACGATATGCCTGAGTTTTCAGAACAGCCCCAGGGCTTGCAGCAGGTTCTCAAATAAAGGTAGTTACCCTGTTCCAAGACAGAGCTAGTCAGGGGTGAGAGGAACGCAGGCGGGAAGGCACCAGCACACAGAGGTCCCCAAATCCCCAGCGAGGCCCTCTTACTCAGGCCTCTGTGCCAGAGCCAGGGTCTCCCAGGCACCTTCTGATGTAAATGCAGGCTCCTGCCCCCGTGCAGGCTCCCGCCCCCGGGCAGCTGGCCTTGCAGTTCCATCCTGTTCTCCAGGCTGGCCCTCCTGCAGCAGTCTTGCCTCTGACTCTTCTTTTCCAAGCAACAATCAGAAACATTCCTTTAAAGTGAAAGCAGATCTTAGCATCTCATCTTGTTTAATGCCACCTCACCCTGGGCTGCCATCATTTCCCAATAATGCCCAAAGTCCTGGGCCCCTGGCTTGGGCACCTCGAGACCGGTGAGGCCAGGATGCAGGCTGCCCCCAGCTTAGGCTGGCCATGCTCTGCTCAGCCAAGCCCCTGTTCTTCCTGCAGGTTCTCCTCTAGGGTGCCTGGCTCCTCTCCCCGACCAGCCCCGAAGCCCTGCCAGAGCTACTGTGAACACCCTCCTCCTCCTCCTCCTCCTCCTCCTCTTCATGGCCGCAGTCTGCTTCCTGGCACTTGGTTTCAGTGCTGTGTCATTAGGGCTAGCAAGAGTTGCTGCAGCTGTTAAGTCTACTGTGATAAAGTCACCATGGTCTTCCTGGTCCCAGGAGCAGCTCTGTGGGTCATCTGACTTTATATTCAAAGCCTGATTAAGTCAGTGACCATGGAGAGAGCTTGGGTGCATGGTCAACAGCATCCAGAGGTTTTCTGAGGCTCCCCACAGGCGCTCAGCCTCTCAGGGGCAGCTCTTTCCACACTCACAGGAAAGGACAGGGTCCCCCTCAAGTCCCGGGAAGAGTAGAGGCAGAGCAGTGGTCAGTGAGCCGCATCCCAGAGGCCTCCGCATCAAGGGGCCTCAGCTGCCTGCTTTCCACCTTCCAAACCTGCTCAAGGAGCAAGCCCTGGGCCAGGAGGCCCCACCAGGAGGCCTTCCCTCCCACTCGCTCCTGGGCAGCCCCACATGGGCCAGGGACTCCACACGTGCTGCCAGGGCCCCTGAGGCTGCAGCCCAGGGATGGGAACTGGCAGGCACACATGCTCTGGCTGCTTTGTGCTGACACAGAGATGTGACTAAAGGGTTGAATGTCACCATGTGACTAGGGAACAGGCAGGCAGCACATGACCCCCTGCGTGCCTGGATAGGGAGCTCCTGGGGCCCTGGCTTGGGCACCTCCAGACCAGTCATGAGGTCAGCCCCGGAGGCTTGTCTACAGCCGAGCAAAAGCCATCACCGGGGGGTCTCACTCTCTATGCTAAGGCTGAGGCGGCAGCCAGGGCCCTGCCCAGGGCAGAAACCCTCATGGCAAGGAACAGCAGACAGTGGGGACGGGGCCTCACGGGCCTCCATGACCCTGATGAGAAGGTCCTGTCCTGAAACCGCACAGCCTACAGTTTGGATAACATGGGCCATAAGCACACAGGTGTCTGTGAGGCAGCCCATCTTCATGGAACAGGATCATCGTCTGACAGGTCCTCAGGCGGATGAGTTTCCGCTCAGCATTCCCACAGCTGTTGTGTTCATCCTCCGAGGTGGGCCCGGAAGGAGAGGCTGGGGAAGCCAGGGCCGCTCCCTCTCCTGCTGTGACACTCTCAGAGGCAGAACACTGAAGGCTGCTGCTGCGCTTTCCCTCCGTGAACCTCCACAGCACAGGCCAGGCTCACACAGCCAAGCAGAGTGGCCAAGACAACCGCAGAGCGTGTGCAGTGGCCAGAGGGGCAGCTGGGTCTCAAGACTGGATGGCCACACGGCAAGGACAGGGCCAAATCTCCAACAGGCATCATGGGTTAGTCACAAGGAGACACAAATGGTGGTTTCCAGGCAGGTCAGAGGTCCTGTTTCCACTGGAGGGGAGAAAGAACACAGCTGATTCGGAACTGCCAATGCCACACAGGAAATCTGGCTTTCGCCATCTGGGACATTGCCACATCATGGCTCAATGCAGCACAGGGAAGAGGGGGACACATGGCACTGGCAGCCGTGGGGTGTTAGAGGAGGAAGGGTGAACCGGTGGACGTGGGGCCCTGATCAGGGTGGGGACCACATCCCAATGTCTCCTTAAAGCCGGGACCCGCCTCATGCTCCCCCAGCCCCACCTCTCATCATACCCGGGCATTGTCTGTGGAAGGTCATATGCTTGTACACGTGGGCGCAGCCCAGGACAGGGAGGAGGGAAAAACAACAAGGGAACATGGGCAGAGGAGGACAAGCATGAGTCCCCAGGGGGTCTTCAGAGACAGAAGGCAGACTTTGACCACCACCTCAGCCTCTACTGAGCTCAGCTCTGGGTAGCTGTCCCCGGGGATGTGATACCTGTTTGAAAAAGCAGAGTGTGGGGGTCCATACTTCACCCCTGTCCAACTCTCCCCTGGAGGGAAGCCCGGCAAGCCTCTTTCTACCTGTACCCCCCTCCCCAGCTCCCCCAGTCCCTGCCTCAGCCCCTTGTTCAGGACACACACTGCACACATATCCCAAGTGAGCTGCCCCAGCCTGGAGACCAAGGCCCAGACCCCACCTCCAGCCAGCCCTGGGCCTGCACAGCCTGACCGATGCCCCCATCCACCCGCTAGGTATCCTCTCACAGCCCAATCATCATGAAGATGCCTTGGCCCCTTCCCATTCCCCAAGTCCTCAGCCTGCTTGGGAGACCCCTGGGACTCCTCTCCTGGGGTCGGGTGGGGCCCTGGCCTCTGGGAAGCAAGGTCCCACTCCTGCTCTGGGTGGGCACTGCCCTGTTGCACCTCCAGGCTCCCACCTCCTCCTTTCTTGGGAGGGCTGCTGAGACTTGCTTCGCCATGCACTCAGACGCCTCCATCCTCCCTGGACCTCTCATGGTTAGGCCAGCACCACTCCCCATGGCCTTTATTTGGGGCGGTGGCCTCAGTATCACTCCCCAGAGTAGAGCCCATGGCCCTTGTGACAGGAAGCTAGGTTAGGAAGGCAGATCTCTAAGTAGTTCCCTGCACTAGAGTCTATGACTGGTCACTCCTGGCCAGGCAGGCCATGCTGC